ACTGGTCCTCCTCCTCCCTTAGAGTGTCCACAGCCAGTCCCGTCGCAATTACAGTTACAGCCGGCCTCCCCACTGCCTACTCCGTCTCCCTACACTGGTCCTACTGGAGGTTTTCTGAGCGTCGTGAGCCTGCGTCTCGCCCTGCGTCGCCTGTCCGTCTGCTCGCACTAGTGGTCGCGGTTCGCATCAGAGTCCTCCTCCTTTCCCTTGCACGCACTGGATGTCTCTGTGTCCGTCCACTGCTCCTCTGCGTGCCCCTTTGCCTTCTCCTCCTGAGTCTTCTCTTCCTGCTCTTCCCGACCCTGAGTCGGACTCTCTTCGTGCTGCCAGTCCTACTTTAACGTGTCTCCTTGCTACTGTCGTCAGTGACCCTTCCTTTGAGTCCACTGCTGCGTCTGCCCTAGTTGCTGAGCTCGTCGACTTTGCTGCTCGCTGTCGCCTAGACTACGCCGCGAGTCTTGATGCTGAGTCTGTCTGTCCTTCGTCCGTCGGGGGTGAGTGTGCCCTTGGCACGGACGTCCTCGAGGACAGGCAGGAGGAATTCCAGTGCCTGGCCGCTGCTTCACCTCATCTCGTGTCCGTATTGCTTACCCCTGAGGGAGACCTAGATGCACTTGACATCCCGACTCCGCGCTCTTACGCGGAGGCGATAGAGGGTCCCTACTCCTCTCAGTGGAAGGCAGCTATGGACGCAAAGATGGCTTCTTGGAAGTCCTCAGGCACCTACGTTGACGAGGTTCCCCCACCTGGGGCGAACATCGTCAATGGCATGTGGATTTTCAGGGTGAAGCGGCCGCCAGGTTCTCCGCCTGTCTTCAAGGCGCGCTATGTGGCTCGTGGCTTCCATCCGCGGCAGGGAGTTGACTACTTTCAGACCTTCTCTCCGACCCCGAAGATGACCACTCTTCGGGTACTGCTGCACATAGCTGCTCACCGTGACTACGAGCTTCACTCTCTTGACTTCAGCACATAGCTGCACGAGGAGATCTGGCTGCGCCGCCCACCTGGCTTCACTGGGTCTTTTCCTCTTCGCACCCAGTGGAGCCTCCGGCAGCCAGTCTACGGTCTCCGCCAGGCACCGCGTGAGTGGCACGACACACCGAGGACTACACTTGCGGCTCTTGGGTTGGCTCCCTCTACTGCCGACCCGTCGCTGTTTTTGCGCACCGACACTTCTTTGCCGCCGTTCTACATTCTCGTGTACGTCGACGACTTGGTCTTTGCCACAGCTGACACTGCTGGACTCGCCCACGTGAAGGCCGAGCTGCAGAAGGGACACACGTGCACAGACGTGGGTGAACTGCGCAGCTACCTTGGCTTGCAGATTACCCTGACTTAGTCACACATGGTGCAGCAGGTCCTTCAGCGCTTCGGCTTCATGTACTCCTCGCCTCAGGCCACTCCTCTGCCTACTCGCCACTTGCTCTCAGCTCTGCCTTCGGATGAGTCCGTAGTGTCGAGTGGCCCGTACCCAGAGCTTGTTGGCTGCCTCATGTACCTGATGACCTGCACTCGACCTGATCTTGAATACCCTCTTATCATTCTCGCACGCTATGTTGCTCCTCGGAGACACAGACCGGAGCACATGGCTGCAGCGAAGAGGGTGTTGCGCTACTTGTGCAGTACGTCGGGCATGGGGCTTGTGCTTGGAGGGCAGAGTCCAGTGGTCCTCACTGAGTACGCAAACGCTTCCTGGGCTGACGACCAGGCTACACAGCGGTCGTCACAGGGTTACACCTTCAGCCTTGGTTCCGGCTCTGTTTTGTGGCGGGCTACCCGCTCGTCTTCTGTTCTCGGCTCCAGTTGTGAGGCTGAGATCTACGCTGGGGCCATGGCTGCACAGGAGCTTCGCTGGCTCACCTACCTACTGAATGACCTTGGAGAGCCGCCTTGTTCTCCTCCAGTGCTGTACGTAGAAAACAAGGCCATGCTGGCCTTGTGTCGAGAGCAGGGACTGGAGCATAGAACGAAGCATATTGCTCTCCGCTACTTCCTTGCTCGTGAGTTGCAGCAGCGTGGTCCGCTGTGTCTTGCGTACGTGGCCTCTGAGGCTAACACTGCTGATATCTTCACCAAGGCGCTTGCGCCTTGTGATCATCAGCGCTTCTGTGCTCAGCTGGGTCTTGTGCCTGCCTTGCCTCACTTGCTGACCTCTTGACCTTGCTTGTACTGTTACATATATAGATACACCTGCTCTTGCTTGTCTAGCCTTTTTTATATATATGTAGTCCTGCATGTAAACTGGCCTTGTGGCCTTGACCTTGTGCTCGGAATGTGTTGTGACTTTGTGATCCACCCTGAGCTTGCTTTGCTTTGCTTTGCTTGAATGGTCTTGTGACCCCTTGTACTCCCCCACTTTGCCTATGGGGGTGTGTCAGAACATTATAGCTTATGCTTTTGTGTAGGCGGTAGTGGGGTAGCCTATATGGGGTACAACCCAATTAGGGTTAGTACTTGTACCCAACTCTTTCATAGTGCATTCATCCTTGTTTCACTATTCTCAAGGTCAGGTCGAGTGCAGGTCATCAGGTACATGAGGCAGCCAACAAGCTCTGGGTACGAGCCACTCGACTCTACGGACTCATCCGAAGGCAGAGCTGAGAGCGAGTGACGAGTAGGCAGAGGAGTGGCCTGAGGCGAGGAGTACGTGAAGCCGAAGCGCTGAAGGACCTGCTGCACAATGTGTGACTGAGTCAGGGTAATGGTGCGCTGTGCTCTGTCCCGGGTGATCTGCAAGCCAAGGTAGCTGCGCAGTTCACCTAGGTCTGTGCACGTGTGTCTATTCTGCAGCTCGGACTTCTCGTGGGCGAGTCCAGCAGTGTCAGCTGTGGCAAAGACCAAGTCGTCGACATACACGAGGATGTAGAACGGTGGCAAAGAAGTGTCGATGCGAAGAAACAGCGACGGGTCGGCAGTAGAAGGAGCAAACCCAAGAGCCACATGTGTAGTCCTCAGTGTGTCGTGCCACTCACATGGTGCCTCGCGGAGACCGTAGACTGGCCCCCGGAGGCTCCACTAGGTGCCAGGAGGAAAATACCCAGTGAAGCCAGGTGGGCGGCGCAGCCAGATCTCCTCGTGCAGGCTGCCCTGCAAGAAAGCGGTGCTGAAGTCAAGAGAGTGAAGCTCGTAGTCACGGTGAGCGGCTATGTGCAGCAGTACCCGAAGAGTGGTCATCTTTGGGGTGGGAGAGAAGGTATGAAATTAGTCAATTCCCTGCCGCGTACTGAAACCACGAGCCAGAAACTAAGGCAGACGCAGCAGCGGACTCAAAGGAAGGGTCAGTGACGATAGTAGCAAGGAGACGCGTGATAGTAGGACTGGCAGCACGAAGGGAGTCCGACTCCGGGTCAGCAAGATTTGGAAGAGAGGACTCAGGAGGAGAAGGCAAAGGGGCACGCAGCGGAGCAGTGGAGGGACGCAGAGACATCCGGTGCGTGCCGGGGACAGGGGAAGGACGGTGACGCGAACCACGACAACTAGTGCGAGAAGCACGGACAGGCGACGCAGGACGAGACGCAGGCTCACGACGCTTAGCAAGACCTCTAGTAGGACCAGTATAGAGAGAAGGAGCAGGCAGAGGAGGTGGACCTCTAGTTAGGCTGTAACTGTGACTCGGACTGGACAGGCGGTGGACACTCTAAGGGAGGTGTCGGACTAGCAGAGGGTGGAAGACCACGAACCTGCTCAAGGAGCGGAACGAAGTACGGCCGCGGCCGCTCAGCACCACCAGCACCAGAAGGGACAGCACCAGCACCCCGAACGAAAGCACCAGCGCCAGCAGCACCCCCAGCTCCAGCAGCGCCAACTCCAGTACCCTCAGAGGCACCAGCACCAGAGGCACCCTCAGCGCCAGCACCCCCAGTTGCTCCTGCTCCAGCCGGACCACCAGAAGACGCAGCGGGTCCAGCTCCAGCACCCTCAGTAGGACCGACGCCCAAAGCACCACCAGCTCCAGTACGAGAAGCACCCTCAGGCCCAGCAGCTCTAGTACTCCCAGTACGAGCACCTCCGGGACCCTCGGAACCAGCACCCTCAGCAGTAGCAGAACCTCCAGCACGCGCAGCACCTCCAGCTCCAGCACCTCGCCTCCAGCGCCGGACAAACCACTCAAGCAGCTCCTGTGGAGAGAGTAGCTCTCGCCCGGACGAAGCACCCAAAGAACCTCCAGGCCCAGCACCGCCAGACGCCACACGAGCAGGTCCAGTACCCTCAGACTCCGCACCCCCAGACGGAGCACCCCCAGGCTCAGCACCCCCAGGCTCAGCACCCCCAGGCGTAGCACCCCCAGGCTAAGCACCCCCAAGCGCAGCACCCCCAGAGTCAACACCCCCATGCTTAGCACCCCCAGACCCAGCACCCGCAAGCTCAGCACCCCTAGCAGCACCAGAGTCAACAGCTACTTCGACAGGGTCGACTGCGTCTACCTGAGACACACCTGAGTGGGCAGGACCCTGAGGGGGGAGGGGGTCTACCAGAGGGGGACTTGGCGTAAGGAAGAGCGGCGGGGGGGGGGGGGGAGGGACGCAGTGCGGTAGGGGAACAGACAGTAGTAGGGAACCGACTCGGCAAACGTGACGTCCTGGGAGGATAGAACACGGCGCGAGTTGGGGTGGTAGAACTGCCAGCCTGGCGCGTCAAGGGGGAAGCCAAGGAAGACGCAGGGAACAGCACGAGGGGACAGCTTGTCCGCAGACAATTCGCGGACAAACGCCCGAGATCCCTAGACACGGAACGCAGACGCATCGCCAACCTTCCCCGTCCACAACAAAGCAGGGGAGGTCTCCGGCATGGAGACCCGGGGCTGAAGGTTGATCTGATGCGCCGCGTACCAAACCGCAAACGGCCACAGAAAATGGGGGGCACCCGCATGGACCATGGACGTACGAGCGACGTCCATGACCATGCCAATGCGGCGCTCAGCAATCCCATTTTGCTGCGGAGAGTCCGGAAGCGTGAAGGTCTGGTGGATGCCTCGTGCATGACAGAAGGCTCACAGAAGGTCAGAGGAGAACTCTCCGCCTCTTGTCAGAGTGCAGACGCAGAACAGGAAAGTCCGAGCCGAAACTCTCTCTGAGCTGGAGACGAGCTGCGCGGATCCAGGTGATCAACACCTCAGTGATCTCACCCTTGCTGCGCAAGGGGAAGACTGCGGTGTAACGCGAGTAGTCATCAACCACCTGCAGGAAGTAACGCTCGTGACCCTGTCCACGGACGCGGGCTGGGCCCCACACGTCCATCTCAAGCGTCTGCAACGGAGCCTCTTTCGGAGGAAACTCGGAGGAGTGAGGAGCAGCGAGTTGCCGCCCCTCGACGCAGGGAACGCAGGTGGGGGCAGGCCCCGGAGGAAGGGGAGGGAGGGATCGGGGGAGACCACAGACAAGGACACGGGAGGCCATGCCTCGAAGACGAGGCAAGGAGGGGTGACCAAGGCGGTGGTGCCAGAGGAGAGTCTGGTGAGACAGGAGACGACACGAGCAGGGGGCAGACTCAGGACCAGACTTGAACGCCGCAGCAAACACCTGACCCGACGCGGCTACCTTAGCAGACTGAGCGACCGGAGGAGACTCAGTAGTCAGTGTGTACAGGCTCGACCCCGGCTGACGGGTAAACGTGGCCAAGTGACGGCTCGTCCGAGCACAGGTACCGTGGGTCACTCGCTGACTCGCAGGAGTGAACTGGTGAACCCCTCCATCCTGGAGGTCAGCACCACTCACCAAGTTCGTAGAGAACGAGGGGAGGTAATGACCCGACAGGGTGCCAGAAGGGGCCGCCGGACAAGGTAGAACGGTGGAGAAGTGGGCAAGGACAGGACCCCTAGAGGGGTCTGCTAGGGAGACTGCCACTGGCTGACTAAGCGGCGTAATCGTGGTGCGGTCTCGAAAGAAGGAGCGGGAAGCACCCGAGTCAAGGGTGAAGGTGTGGGTGGCCGGAGCCGACGCGGTACCTGAGAGCGCAGACTCACCAGCACCTGGGGCAGCAGGCTCACTGGCACCTAGAGCAGCAGCCTCAACAGCACCTAGAGCAGCAGCCTCAATGCTCGGGTCAGGCGGAAAACACCGTTAACAGTCACCCTCATCACTAATGGTCTTAGCATACATTGCAGCTAGAGCATCATAATCAAGATCAAAGATCGCAACACCCGCCCTAAACAGCTCGCCCCAGCGAGGGATCTCAGTAGCGTCGGGGAACTGATGACGCCAAGCGTCCGTCAAGCGGCCGTAGCAGCGCTGAGGTGAGTGCACACCACCACACTGCTCACCCGTGCGGTCGCCTGTACGTAGAACGTAGGTACAGGGGCCAGCATACCCACCCCGCTGACGAGCAGTGTACCACTCACGAAGCTGCTGGGGGGAAGGGGTCTCACGAGTGCGCTGCTGCTGCTGGCGCTGACCACCACCGGAGCCGACCCTCTGCGAAGAGCCGCCCCGACCAGCTCCACCTCCGCCGCCGCTACCTCCACCACCGCCTCCACGTCCACCACCTCTGCTCGCACCGCCACCACCGCCGCCTCCTCCGCCTCCACTGCCGCCACTAGTGCCCCCACTCCCGCCACCACTCCCACCGCCACCCCCACCCCCTCCGTCGCCTCCACCGCCGCCTCCACTGCCCCCGCCAGCTCCTCCAGCGCCCTTGCCCCCCTTGTCCTTGCCTAAGCGGCGTCTCCCGCTAGGGGCAGACGCCGCGCCGACCGACTCAAGACCAACGAGGTCGGCCGCAGCAGCAGAGGCAACAGAGGGCAAGAGGGGGGAGGGGGAGCACCCCTCAAAGACAGGGGTACGAGGGTCACCACGAGAGGATCCTACAGCGACTATACTATTTTCTACTGCTAGGAGGCGCTCCTCGAGGAGGTCAACGGTGAGGGTGGTGGGGCAAACAGAGAGGAAGTGGTCCCTGGCCGAGCGAAGGGTGTCAGGGAGCCGGGTGACTATGTAGTAGAGGGTGATGTACATAGGGGGGGGGTTCTTGGCGCAGAATTCAGCAGGAAGCGCAGCACGGTAGCGAATGTCACTAGTGCGAAGGTGCGTTATGAGGTCAGCGACTGTGGGAAAAATGGTGAGGTCAGGGAAGAGGTACGGCAGTATGAGGCGGCTAAGGGCAACATTGGCACGGGAAGAGTAGCATGCAACGACAGCGTCATACAAGGTCTTAGCACTCTTGTACTGACTAAAATGCGCGCGCTCAGCGGTCGGTAAGTGGCGGCGCACAGCAAGGCGAGCAGCAGCATCGCTCGTTGCCTACTGTGAGCGAACAGTGGCGGCAGCATCAGCAGTAGGGGCAGGAGAGGCACCAGAGGTGAGGTCAAACACAGAGAGACCGTCTGCCCTATCGCATTGTAGGAAAAGCTGCAGATCATCTACCCAGACCTCAAAGTCAACAGCCTGACCCTCAGCGTCAAAGGTGAGAACGCTGGGGGTGGCCATGACAGCAGTAGACTCGCAGAGAGAGCAGCGGGGTAGGGCAGTGCAGTGGCAGAGGCGCTGCTCTTACCAGGCAGGTGGGGCGGGCCGAGGCAGGCCGGCAGGGACAGAGCCGCGACGACTGCGGCGTCTCGGCTGCGGCGGCGTGGCGGCTCGGCGGCTCGACTGCAGGGCTGCTTGGCGGCTCGGCGGCTCGGCAGCTCGGCGGCTCGGCGGCTCGGCAGCTCGGCGGCTCGGCGGCTCGGCAGCTCGGCGGCACGGTGGCAAGGGCGGCTCGGCGGCTCGGCGGTGACGGCAGCTTGGCTGCTCGACGGGGCCGGGAAGGGCGGCTGAGGGGCCGAGGAAGGGCGGCGACGGGGCCGAAAGGCACAGCAACGAGGCCGCTGAAGGGCGGCGACGAGGCTGCTGAGGGGCGGCGTCGAGATCGTTGAAGGGCGGCGACGAGGCCGCCAAAGGGCGGCGACGGGGCCGCGGAAGGGCGGCAATGGGGCCGCTGAAGGGCGGCGACGGGGCCGCGGAGGGGCGGCGACGGGGCCGCGGAGGGGCGGCGATGTGGCCGCTGAAGGGCGGCGACGAGGCCGAGGGGAGGGGGGGACGGTGACGAGGCCGCGAAGGGCGGCTATGGGGTCGCGGCTCGGCGGCGACGAGGCCGAAAGGGGCGGCGACGGGGCCGTAAGGGGCGGCGACGGGGCCGTAAGGGGCGGCGACGGGGCCTTAAGGGGCGTGGACGGGGCCGTAAGGGGCGGTTGCGGGGCCGTGAGGGGCAGCGACGGGGCCGTAAGGGGTGGTCGCGGGGCCGTGAGGGGCGGCGACGGGGCCGTAAGGGGCGGTCGCAGGGTTGTAAGAGGTGGTCGCGGGGCCGTAAGGGGCGGCGTCGGGGCCGCTAAGGGGCCACGCAGGGCCTAGAGAGGGCAGCGACGGGGCCTGAGGGGCCGCTAAGAAGGGCTCGACGGGTCGCTAAGGGCGGGACACTAGGCGCGCTTCGGGCAGGGGCGGCACGCGCCCCGTGTAGGAAAAAAAAATCTTGGTGGGCCCTAGGAAGTGTTCCCACGAGGGAACCTGTTCGATACCATGAGAAACTTAGAACGAGAATGGATTGACTAAGGAATGAAAGTGATACAAATATGAAACCCTAGAATTGTGTACCCCTTAGTATCTAACCCGCTACAGCCTACACAAGCTAGATCATATAAGTTTGACATAGGCTGCCCCCAGCAAAACCAGAAGCAGCATAGGCTGCCCCAGCGCTCGAGCAGTAGCTTAGGCTACCGCCAGCGCACCATCAGCAGCTTAGGCTGCCCCCAGTGCACCAGCAGCAGCTTAGGCTGCCCCCAGCAGAACCAGCAGCAGCTTAGGCTGCACCCAGTAGAACCAGCAGCAGCATAGGCTCACATGGCGTGTACTAGAGTTCTACAGCAGCAGGGACAGCCGCAGCACTCCTGGCAGTGGGGACCTGCGGGTCCAAAGGGTGGAGCCCCCAGCAGTGGCTCAGCTAGCAGTGGGCGAGACGTCGGCCCCTGCGGGTAGCGGGCCCTGACAGGCCCTGGTGCTGGCACCACCTGTTGGAGTCCTCACCACTCGATGACCTCCACCGTGAGCGTTTTGGTCCTCACGCTATTACACCGCACTGGCCCTCGCGACTTCGCCAGCGCACTACTGCACCAGTTGAGTCTCACCTACTTGGTCTAGGACCGTTCCCAACTGCACGAGTAGAGACATGTGTTTCCAGTCTTGGTGCGTGTGTTGTTTCCAGTCCAGGTGCCTCTGAGGGTCTTTGTGTAGGAGCTGCAGCTACCACTAGTCTATTAGCCTTTGTAGCTGGCTCGGGTGCGACCTCACAGACTGCACATCTTTCCTTCACCCTAGACTCTGGAGCGTCCAGCTGTTTCTTTCGCGACTGTTCTTACCTCACACCACTGCGCTCTCCAGTCACTGTCGCCTTGGCTGACCCCTCTGTGGGACCTTTAGTTGCCCGCAACACCACCACTCTCACGTGTCCGGCGGCTCCCTCTGGGTTCCTCACAGGTTGCTACACCCTCTCGTTCTCTAGGAACCTGGTGGGTGTCAATCACCTCCACGACTTAGGTGTAGTCACTACTTTCCCAGTCGACGAGCCTGTTGCCTCCTGCACAGTCGGTACCACTGGGGCCCCTCTGGCCACTTTTCACAGGGAGCCGGGCTCTGGTCTGTACTCACTACACACTAGGTCCCACCACACTTGGTCAGGTCAGGTCAGCTAGCTGCTGTGTCGTGTGACTGTCGGTCCCTCACCCACCCGCCGGTCCTTTGGCACCGCCGTCTAGGTCACCTGTCGTTTCCGCGTCTCAGTAGGATGGCATGTTACCGTCTGGTCTCAAGTCTCCCAGAGTCGCTAGCACCGCTTCCCCGCTCGCCTGCGCCGCTGTGCACTCCTTGCGTCGAGGGTCAGCAGCGCGCTGTCCCTCACTCCTCCTCGTTCCCCCCCACCACGACTCCCTTCCAGACCTTGCACTTGGACGTCTGGGGCCCCTCCCCGATCCTTGGGCCACGTCAGGAGCGCTACTTCCTGATTATGGTGGACGACTACTCCGGCTACACCACGGTTTTCCCCTTGCGACAGAAGGCCGACGTGCCTACCGTCCTCGAGCCGTGGCTACTAGCGTGGGGTGGCGCCCATGGCCTGTGTGGGCTTTGCCTACACTCGCAACGTCCAGTCCCTGTCGTGTCTAGGGGTGCGGGAGGTGCACTTGTGGAGGGTGAGGGTACTAGGGCTGCAGGAGTTGGTGGTGTCGGTTATGGGGGTGCAGGGGTTGTGGGCGTGGAGGTCACTCCTGTGGAGGACACGGCACCTTCGACTCGGTGGCCTTGCCCCACCTCACCCCCTGGCTTCCCGTCCGTCCCGCAGTTTCCTCCTCGTTCTTCTCTGCGGCCGGTTGCTGCGGAGCCTTGGGGTGTTCCTGCGGGAGGTACTGGAGGCCCCGGGGGTGTCGGTGGTAGAGCTGCTGGTTCGGGGGGTGCTGGAGCTGGAGGCACTAGCACTATGGCGCACACACCGCGCACTGTACGTTTCCTGACCTGTGAGCGGCGACACCTCAGGTTGGAGAAGAAGGAGCGTGAGCAGTTTCAAAGGGCACAGCAGCAGGAGCAGCAGCAGCAGCACCAGCAGCAGTAGCACGAGAGAGTAGAGGAGAAGTCACAGCCGCAGCAGGAGAGGGTAGAGGAGGAGTCAAGACCGCACTAGGAGAGGGTAGAGCAGGAGTCCCGCCCGCAGCAGCAGGTGCAGTAACAGACACAGCAGGAGAGAGTAGAGGACCAGTCACGGCCGCACCAGGAGAGGGTAGAGCAGCAGTCCCACCCGCAGCAATAGGTGCAGTTAGAGACCCAGCAGGAGAGAGTAGAGGAGGAGTCACGGCCGCTGCAGGAGAGGGTAGCACAGGAGTCCCGGTCGCAGCAGCGGGTGCAGCTGCAGTCGCAGCAGCAGAGGGCACACACGGAGCCATAGGAGCAGTAGCAGGGGCCGATACCGTCGCAGCAGACGCCAGAGGAGGCGGAGCAGCAGCGAGTGCGACTACGCGACCTCCCTGACCCAGCACCTACACGCTTTGTTCGTGGTCCCCTACCGTCCCCTCTTGTTCCCCCTATTGAGTCCCTTTCCTCGTCCCAGTGGACTCGTCGTTCTCCCCTCAGTCGTGCTGTGTCTGCAGAGCGCCGTCGGTCCCGTTACCGTGCATACGGTCCGTTCCACCTTGTTCTTCGCTCTCGTGTTCCACCTCCTCCAGTCCTTCCACAGCCTCCTGAGTCGTCCCTCACTGTGCTTCACGACCCGTTGTCCAAGTACCTTCGTGCCTCCCGTCCTGTCGTCTCCCGTGTTTTGTCCACGTTGGTCACTCACTCGACTGCACCCCTGTCGTCTGTCTCAGCACTTGTTACCACTGTCGCTGGCTTTGCCTCTTAACACCGCCTTGACTATGCCGCTCACTTGGTGAGTGGCCCTGCTCGTTCTCCGTCCTCTGGGGGTGCTCCTGTTTTTCCCATGGAGGTCCTACAGGACACGCAGTTTGAGCTTGGTTTCCTTGCGGCTGCTGTTCCTCATCTCTGCGCCATGCTGCTTACCCTTGAGGGGGATCGAGACACTCTTGACATCCCGATACCTCGCAATCATGCTGAGGCGGTCTAGGGACCCTGAGCCTCGTACTGGATAGCAGATGAGGAGGCAGAGATGGCATCTTATAGGTCCACAGGCACTTACATCGACGCAGTCCCACCACCTGGGACGAACGTCGTCAGTGGCCGATGGCTCTACAAGGTGAAGCGGCCGCCTGGATCACCACCAGTATTCAAGGCGCGCTATGTGGCGAGAGGCTTCAGTCAGCGAGAGGGGGTGGACTTCTTCCAGACCTTTGCGCCCACCCCAAAGATGAGTACTCTTCGGGTGCTGCTGCATATTGCAGCCCAGCGCGACTATGAGTTGCACTCCTTGGACTTTTCCACCGCGTTCCTTCAGGGGAGCCTGCATGAGCAGATCTGGCTGCGTCGCCCGCCTGGCTTCACTGGCTCTTTCCCACCTGGGACCCAGTGTCAGCTGCGTCGAACAGTCTACGGCCTGCGTCAAGATCCACGTGAGTGGCACGACACACTTCGCTCGACCCTTGCAGCGCTTGACTTCTTTCCGTCGTCTGCGGACCTGTCACTGTTCGTTCGCCGTGGCTCGACCCCGTTCTTTGTCCTGGTCTACATCGACGACCTCGTGTTCGCCACTCCCGACCGGCGCGCGCTGGCCTCCATGAAGGAGGAACTGCAGAGGAGACACACTTGCACTGACCTTGGTGAGCTGCAGCACTACCTTGGCCTGCAGATCATCAGGGACAGGGCAGCTCGCACCATTACGCTGACTCACATCCTCACACGGTTTCGCTTCCCATTCTCCAAGGTACAGCTCACCCCTCTTGGTGTGGGAAGAGAGATCTGCTTCGTTTTGTGCTCCAGTTTGTCCTCCTCACACAAGGCAATGGCAGCCTTGTTTT